TATTCTAATTACTGAGGCCCCTATATGGCTATTGTATCTAGCTCTGAAAATACTATACCGCAAGGTCTCTTCATTGAATCTATGTGTACCCTAGTATACCGCAAAGCCCTTGTCCAGTAATCGAGGCCTCTGACACCCCCAAACCCCCAAACCAAACAGAAGCCTTCTAGACACCCTTCAGGAAACCCTATTCCGTTTTTTAGGGCTTCCCCATGGTGCAGTACCAACTTCTGTTGAAGCCAGTTTTCAACTCTAGGTTCCTGAGATCCTCTCATGAGGCTCGAAGCCCTCTAGGGCCATACTTTGTCATCGTGGGGTAGCATTTCACGTTTCTAATGGGTACTTAAAACACAAATAAGGAGTCGGAGTAGAAATACAAAGTTGCCTTTGAAACAGAATACCGACCATGAGCTGGAATCAGAATTTGGGGTTGGGGTTTAGGGCTTTNNTTGTTTAGGGTTTATGTAGGGTTTAGGGGTTTAGGGGTTTAGGGTTTAGGGTTTAGGGTTTAGGGTTTCGGGGTCTGGTATGGTATACTCACGCAGGAACGAGAAGTGAGATTAGGCTCAGGCCAAGGAGTTTATCCGCTTGCCCAAATTCCCAGTCGAGCGTGCCTGTAAGATAGGGGCCCAAAAAATTACCAATGCTATTTTGGGGGTTCCTTATTATGATTATGGTATTTTATACACCAATGCTATTCTGGGGGGGGGTCCTTAGAATGGTTATAGTATTTTATACCCCAAAACCCTATTCTAATTACTAAGGCCCCAACATTATAGCAACGATGCTCGTACCCTGACACCTGAGCTTCCAACCGTCTGTTTCCTCAGACACTCCACTATCTCTACATGAATTGGAGTTTGGCACGAACAAGTATGAAGTACATACTAGCAACCCCTTATAGCTACACGAGTATCTACCCCAGACCCACTTAAAGCACATGTACCCAAACTGCGCACTCCAAATTCGCACCCGCTCAAAGACCAAATACTTCAATCCTCTAAACCCCCAAACCAATACCCGAAACCCATTATACCCCCAAAGACCCTGCACCCATCAGAGGTTTAGGGGATGTTGGGCTGAGGTTCCTGGACCCGGGAGGACGTGACTGGCCAGAAGCGGTCCAGGTGCTGCTGCAGCACATGCTACAACGCACGTGAAATGGGGCTTAGGGTTCAGGGCCCTAAACCCAAACCCTAATTCAAGGTTTCGGGCAGAGGGCCGCGGTACGGGGATGTTAGCAACAGTCTAGGGGACTCATGAGGTTTATGACGGACTGATGAGGTTGAAAATAGAGTGTTGCGGGTGGTTTAGGCTGTCCATGAGGTGGTGTTTATCTTTGATATTTGGCAAGTGTCGCGATCTTTAGTAAGAGATGTTTGATGGGTCTGAAAAATAGATGCCAGAATGATTACCAATCTCTTCGCATTGTGCTCACGTAGTGAGAGGCAGCGTCGCTCTTGGAAAATCTCCTCGGTCCAAGGACCGCTGGAGCTGTGGCTATGGCTGTTATTAGCTCCTTAAACCTTACCAGAAAAAGTGGTCAGAACAAGGAACAGCCATAAGACTCAGAATATGTTTTTAACAGTAGTCGTAACCCTGTTTTATCGTCTCCACTGAATAAGTATAATATTATGTTCCCCAGACTACGTCTTCAGGCCCCGTATGAGAGGGTCTTGGGGTCCTCCTAAAGGAGCTCAGCGGCGACTTCCCCAAGGGTTTTTCGTAAGACTTCTGTAACTCGGCTCTTCTTCGGAAGCAGCTTTCATGTGTGTTATGAGACCAACCCATGTGGGCTATGTTGAAAGCAGATAGCATTCCACCAAGGATATGATGGTATTTTGAGGCCCCCTGACGTGGTGTCTGGGTTTAGAATATACTTAGGTTAGGTTCGGGGACTGAAATGTAGGCGTCTGAGGACGCACGGGCCAGAAGCACTTAGCGAATCTTAGCGACTTATATGTACCTTCACTGGGGGTATCTGCCTTAAAAATCTCTACACAACAACAACCTACCCACTACGTTCCTGTAGCAACCCATACATATATATATATATATATATACATCCTTTAGCAAACGCCGCCTTTGAAGCCATGAGGCCCTGAAGATTTCAGCCCCCGGACGTTAGAGATGACAAGTCTCTTAGTATCCCACACCTTGAGCGGCCAGAGTCCCTAAAAACCGAAAGCCATAAAACCCTTAAGCCTTAAGCCTCAAACCCGAAACCCTGTACATCGAAAGCCCCTAAAAATCAAAAACAACCCTAAACCCTAAACTTTATAAGCCCTAAATCCTAATCCTAAAGCCCCTAAACCATCAAGCCCTGAAGCCCTGAGCCAATCCTGGTCAGAGGACCTGTGGTTACGTGGTTTTCCTGCTTCTCAGCGGGGCAGTGCTCTACATGCTCTGCAGCTGCAAAGGCCTTTTCCGGGTTTCAGTCGGATCAGAGTTTAGGGTTTTAGGGTTTTAGGGTTTAGGGTTTACGGTTTGGTGCTTTAGGGTTTTAGGGTTTAGGGTTTTAGGGTTTTAGGGTTTTAGGGTTTAGGGTTTAGGGTTTGTTTCAGTCGTTTTGGGTTTTTGGGAACAGGGTGCGGGCTGTACAGTTTGCCCTACAAGCTCTTAACCTTCCTAACCGTCCAGAGTCTTGACTCCAAACTCTATAAGCCCTGAAAACCCGTCGCCCGTTGCATTCCATGCAGATTTCTGTCAGGTATCCCTACTTGAACGGCCCCGTAAACCCTAAACCATGATCCCTACAAAGCCTCTCTTGGAGGACGGACTGTCGGCTTTCACGCTTCAGAGTGTCGGGCTTGTTGGCGTAAATTTTGCCCAGAACCATCGGCACTAAATGGCGAGCTTGCAAGTTGGCACACTTGTCAATGTCCTTTAGGGTCTCGCAGAGGTAGGAACTTGTGGACATTCATTGGTTGACCCTAAACCCTACAGTCCCATGCAAAGCATAACCCCGAAACCAGCCAGTTTTGCAGGTGTCCAGGGCAACGTCTTCGTGAGCTGCTTACCTCCTGCTGCTTGTCGGCCAAGACCACGACCACTATCAAGGATCTACAGGATAAACCCTAAACCCTAAGCCCCTCTTAAAACAAAGGCAAAGCATCCTAGCATTGTATGGCGTAATATCATATAGCCCCCCGGCTCCCCACAAAAGGTATTGAGGCATCATGCGGGTGAAGACTTCATTCCACCTTGTTGGGTTCTTTGCAGGGTCGGTTCTTCAGAAGGTTTTAGAAACGGGCTTAAGTAATATAGGGGCCTAAATAATCACCTATACTATCTTTAGGGTCCTTAGGGTTCCTTAGTATGATTATAGCATAATATACCCCCAAACCCTGTTCTAATTTTTAAGGCCCCTACATTAGGCTCTATGTAGACCCCTCGGGCCTTGGCTTACGTTGTTTTGCGATTCTGGAAGCAGGACCCAATCTTGGACGCAGACAATTAAAACAGGTGTTGCGATTCACGGTGCAGTCCCAAACCCTGACGCCTCAAATGCTTGCTTTGGATGAAGTCTGAGTATGCCGCTGCAAAAGGCAGCAGAAATACATAATGTGTATGTTGTGTATGTATATATATATACACACATGCAGGCACCTTTATTAATGATCAGACTGGGGTTCTGTGGTATATTTAGATTCAGGTTCTTCGGGGCGAAAATTTTGTTATGAAGTTTATTCCGACCCCCGAATGACCCCCAAATCACATGCCCTGGCGTGCTGTCAGCAAAGGCGTTGAACTTCGGCGTGTCGGCGCTGTTGCTAAAGGCAAAGCTGGGGTTTTGAGGGTCGGAGCGGTGGTCTTGAGGGTCAAGGTGTCGAGGTCCCGGTTTCGGTTGCCGGGTTTGGAGTTTCGTGGTATTCAACGTTTCGGATTTGTGGTTTGTAAGCCCTAAACCCTAAACCCCTAAACCCTAAACTCTAAATCCTAAGTTTAGCACTTCTGGCTTGGGGTTGGTGGTGCAGACTTGCAGGTGCTGCGCCCAGAGGGCTCGAAGGGCCTGGGCGGCTTGGAGCTCTTAGCGTTTTGCTACCTAGAAGGTCTCCAACGCAGTTCCCCAAAAGCAAGAAAACGAAGCAACCAACAAGAAGAGCTACGATGGAGACTAGAGGCAGGGTGGTTTCGGCATTGGTAGTTGAACTTGTTTGCACTTGTGGAATCTTTGTGACAGGCGGCATGTCTTGCGGCATGCTGTGCCAGTGGCACCTGTATCAGTAGCACCTGAACCACTGCCACCTGCCGATCTCCCACATCCGTGCCCGGAGAATCTCGCCCTGACCGCCCCAGTCCCATGGACTATTGTCCCGCACCTGTGCCGGGGGAAAACATGTGGAAAAGCCCGGCTTGTGCCGCGCCGCTGTCGCGCCTTTCGCGAAGCTAAGGCAGCAACAGGCGCTGCATGACAGAGCGAATTGGTCCAGAAATCGGCAGCTACCTATCTCCCTGCACGGATTTGGTGTCGTTCGAGCAAGTGCACACCAGTTGGCGCGCACCATTGGCGAGTTCTGCCTTAGCTGGCCTGACACCCTTACTCAGCCTCTTTTTTGTGGGAACCCCGCCTTTGCGGGACGAATTCCAAGCGTCTTGGACGCGGGCCCGAACCCGGATGTATAGTTCGAGATAATAAACTAGGCAGGTTGGTATGTCAGAGCTCCTGCGTGGAGCGGACGCAAAACCTCAAATTTCTAGTACCTGAACCCCTGTAGCCCGTAAATCCACGAGCCTGAAGCCTCTATGTGGGCCTCAGTTAGTGGGTAATGCTTTTCCTGGTCAGGGTTGTGTTTCTGATCATCTTTATAACATAATATAACCATAATACGACCCGAAACCTTTTTCTCAAAGGAAACAAAAACAAATCTATGAACACCCTAGTGAGACCTTGCAAAAATCGTTCAGCACGCTTTAAAAAAAAGCCCTCAGCCCTACCTGGACCCCAAATGTATGTAGAATAATAGCCTTTTAGAGGTTTTGGGCCATTATTTTACCTACTTTTGGGGGTTTAGGTAAACCCGAACAGGCGGCTGCGCAGGTCGCCTATGGAATCGTCCAGGCCCCACAGAGGACGGAAAGTGCCCTTAAATAATTACCAACACTATTTTGGGGGCTCATTTCCAGTTATAGTATCATATCAAGAAAGGGATTTTCTGAAATTCATGATTAGGTTCATGGGTTTAGGGTTTTGTTAAATCTGTGGCCGAAGTCCTCGCGATCATAAGTTACTAACTATTAAGGGCGTAGTTTGGACGTGGTTCCCGGCAGGAGTACGGCTAACAGATGATAGAAATGATGTTTACGTAAAGCTTCGGTCGTGTAAAGCATACAGCTTTAAGATTTGGCTGACACCCGACATTACGGGTGTGGGTTTTCAGGTGTCTAGGGGTTCTGATTCTCAAGTCGTTAAAGCCATATAGGGTTCTCAATAAGGTTTGTCCGGTTTAGGTTTTATAGGAATTGCGTAGGCTCAATCAAGCCCTGTCGAAACAGAGTCTGGCATCTGGCACTGTAGGATAATATTGAATATATCATATTATATATTATCTTATATGTGATATTATATTATATCATACTGTTTTAAATATTGGATGATGCATCGGAGCGCGACTGAGTCAGATCTGAGGCTGTAGGTGCCCGAGACCCCCAGAGGCTGAAGCCTGAAACAAAAGACTGCCGCGAACTCTATAGGAGTGAGCTGTGGGCGGCTCTGCCCGTCCTATTGCTCCTGCTCTTCGCGGCGGGGACACCAAGAAAAATTGGTTTTAGGGGTGTGTTGCAGCAGTCGAAATGACAGGTAGCCCAGTGATGTGCAGGTTTTGAGGTTGGTCAGGTGCTGACTGACTTCATAATAACGAAACCTGCAAGCCGTATTGCTCATCACCTTATCAACGGCCATGCTACCCCTAGACCTACCTGCCGACATCAGTCCTCGTTGTAGTGTGATGATATGGAGCTTCTTTCCTATTACCCGCAGGGATTACCCAGAGGGTGTCAACATGAGTTTTCAGAAAGAGGCGAATGAATGTCGGATTTACCCTAAACCCAAAACCCTAAACAGTTACAGGAAGCCCGAAGCTAAAGTCTTTTGTCAAGGCTTGGGCCTATTCATGCACAAGTAAGGCATTGTCTCAGAGGATGTCTAATTACTAATTACAGGTGACTGAATAATTACCAGGGGGTTGCTGATTAACAGTATAGTATGATATACTCCCAAGCCCTTATTCTAATTATCAAGGCCCCTATATCATGCTGCTATCCGAACAGATCCTCAGAATATTTTGGAGGTCCAAGGAGCTCGGGAAGCAATCCGTCTCAAGGGTTTAGGGTTTCAGGTTTAGGGTTTCGGGTTCCAGGCCGAACGCCCTCACAGTGGTTCGGCATCATCCCATTTGTTCCTATAGCCTCCGAAATACAACCTTTTTCTGGTTTATTTTTAGGGTCCTGTAAGGTAAGCCCCAAAAGGAAACAAAATGGAGCCTGTGGGTATGATGCAGGCCCGAGTTCTTACATGGATGTCGCATGCTGTCGTGCTATCCTGGCCAGTACGACCGTTTCGTTTGAAGCGCTCCGAGAATCTTGCCGGGATGCAACATGGGTGCCTTGTCTTTTTCGTGTTTTTTAGGGTTTAGGGTTTTGTGTATCGGGTAAACTTCTTCAAGGCCGCTGGTAGACTGGTAGCAACGAAGGGATTCTCGAAGAATCCACAGAGAGTAGCAGCAGTCGTGTCGACGAAGTCATTGGAGAGCTGCGAGCTCGGTGCCAGGCAGATCCAGACAATGCAAGCCAGGACAGATGGCCCTTTGTCGGTTGGGAAGCCTTGAAGAAATTAAGCGTCGAGGGCCGTTTGCAACAGGCCGAGCTTTCTTTAGTGGATTTACGCAAGTCGAGGTGTCTGGTACAGGTCATCGCGCCGAGCCATGCCGGTTCTTATTCCTTCTGAAAAGGCCTTTGTCGAGCGCGCGGTGGCGGTCCAGAACCCGCCAGTCAAACCTTTTTTATAGCCTTCTGCCCCGCTGAAGGGCTGCTTAGAGGCCTACCTAAATCCTAAACCCTAAACCCTAAACCCTAAACCCTAAACCCAAAACCCAAAACCCAAAACCCTAAACCCTAAACGCTGAAGGGCTGCTTAGAGGCCTTGGCCGCTGGGCTAAACCCTGGCCTAAATCCCAAACTCCGAAGCTGCTCACCTCTACTTGGAGGTTCGTGGGTAGTTATAAGTGGGGTTATAAGTCCCCTAATTAGGGTTATAATTATAGTTACCCTACTTGTAACCCCACTTATAACTACCCATGAGCCTCCAAGTAATTAAGCCCTAAGCCCAAAAAATCCTACATCGCAAAGCCCTCAAACCCCAAGCCTCCGCAACCCCTGAACCCTCAACTACATGCCCCGAGCCTGCTACTAGCCCCAGAGCCCAAACCTGCAACCCCTGAAGCTCTGCTATCCGTGGCAAGCCAAAGCCTCCCAATTACTACAGGGGCCTTAAAATTACCGTTGCTATTCTGGGGGGCTCCTTATTATAACAAGTATAGTGTAGTAGACCCCATGAGGAGCCTAAATAATTCCAAATACTACTCTTTAGGGTCCCTTATTATTATGAGTATACTATACAAGGACCCCAAAACCCTATTCTAACTGATAAGGCCCCTGCATTACCTAAAGGTCCGAAGCGCTGCAGCATCACCGCTGCGCAGGGCACTGGAGGCCATTGTTCAGGCTTAAGGGTTTAGGGTTTAGTGTTTGGGTCTTCTTTGAAGGTTTGGGGCTTCGCGTTTAGATGATTTTGGGTCGAAGATTCAGAGGTTAAGGTTAAGGCGGTTGAGGTTTCGGGTCAATGTAAGGTTTAATTTACTTAGGGCTTTAAGGCTTAGGGCTCCGAGGTTTGCAGGTTCACGGTCGAGAAGAGATTGATTCTGTGCGTTGGGGGATTTGGTGGCTTGTGGCAAGGGTGGCCGTCGATCACTTGAGGCTTAGCTAGAAAGACATCGGCTGGAAAACACGCGTAGTATAGACGGAAATCGTTTTCCCTTCTGTTCGGGTGGTTTCTGATTTGTGGTCTCCTGGTTGACGTCTGTAGCGTTTTTGATGCTGCAGTGTTGTCTTCTTGTTGCTTTTGGAACTTCCAATGGTACTGCTGATGTTGCTCCCATTATTGCTGCTGTTGCTCTTGTTGCTGCTGCTGTTGTTGGTGGTGGTAATTAGCATTGGTAGTGGTCGGGTGGTGGCGGGGCGGCGGCAATCGGTGTGGCGTTGTTGGGCTCGGGTTGGCGGTTGGGTGGTTATTGTTGGTTGGGCTGCTTAGGCTTAGGTTGCTGTTGGTGATTTCTGTTCATTGGTCGCTGCCGTTGCCGGGCGTCGAAGTTTCGAGGTTTCGGGCGATTTGGGCTCAGGGTATTAATTACTAATATAGGGGCCCAAATAATTCATGGCTATAGCATATTATACCTCAAGACCCTGTTCTAATTATTAAGGCCCCTACATTAAACAGTTTGGGGTTTAGGGCCTCGTGATTTTGTAAATTTCGGACTGCTGAATTCTTTGTTTCGAAAAAAATGTTCGGGAGGCTTGCGGGTTCCATTTCTTTTTGGGGTGATCAGAGCTGAGGTTCTGAAGACGGGCTTTGGGTTTAGGGTTTAGGGTTTAGGGTTTAGGGTTTAGGGTTGGGATGCTCTTCTAGGCTTGAACCTCTGGGTTTTTGATCTGGAGGCTTCGACAGAATCAGCAGACGCTACGGCCATCTGGCAAATGCCAAGCCAACCCAAGAGCGATAGGTCGTAGAGTCGTAGGGTTTCAGGGTTTAGGTCTCGGGTTTCGGGTTTTCGGCATCATCAGGTTTAGAGTTAGCGTTAAGTATGGGAGACTCTTGCAAATGCTTAGGATTTCGATCTCTTTTAATTCTTGACCCAAACATAACCTGAGCCGGCCTGAGCCCGTTGTTTTGCGTGGTCAGAAACTCTGAAGCCTGGCACCCCGAACCCATAAACCATCATAAACCTAAACGTAAACCCTATAAAACCTAAACCCTATAAACCCCTAAACCTTTCAACCCCACCTCTTCACTGGTCGCGGCGCTGTGAAAACATGCGTTTATGACTTTCTGATCATAGACCCGACAAGCTCTTTACCAACCCTGGGAACCCATTTATGGGAACCCTTCAATAACCCCTAACGAACCCTGGCGAGATTCCTACAAAATGCGAGTAGTCCTTATGGAAAGCATATAGTCGCCCATCTGACCCCTAAGCCCAAAACTTGGCAGAAATCTGGATCCCTGTTATCGTCTCGGGGGCTGAACCCCTAAACCCCCAGCCCGTTTATCCCCTCGGGGGCTGGATCTACAAGGCCCATGACACCCTGCGAGTCCTGGCAGCCTATGGAGCATCTGGGATGCAAGGTTGTGTGTTGTGTTTCCTTTGTGCGTGTGTGCGGGTGTGTTTGGCGTGCAGGTTGTGTGTGCGTGTGTTTGCGTTCGCGTTTGCGATCCTTGTGGTTGTTGTTGTTGTTGTTGGTGGTGGTGGTGCTGCTGCTGCTGCTGCTGCTGGTGGTGGTGGTGGTGGTGTTGTTGTACACAAGTCCAAGAACACGCTGACCTGCCGAGGTCCAGATTTCTGAAAGTAGAGA